CAGCTCGTTCGTAGAATTTTTGACACTTAAAAATCGTTAAAAGATCAATTCAGTCAAAAGATTAATTAAATTGATAGTTAAAACTCATTTTTAGGAATATTTAAGTGAAAAAACATTAACTATAGATTCTTACAGTAAATTGTTCCATTATACACATCTTATATATGGACCGATGTGAAATTGAATTGATATATTATACTTCCTCCGTTTTCTTTTACTTGCAACACACCTTTTAGGCACGCAGTTTTAGGAGATGATTAGTGAGGATAAACGAGCGATTTTATCAATATAATTTTTACACGAAGATTAAAATAGGGTTAAGTATCATTTGTAAAAATTATAATGAATAATTTATCCGTTTACATTACATAAACCCGACCTCAAAACACGTGCCACAAGGCTGTGTTGCAAGTAAAAAGAAACGAAGGAAGTACAAAAGATGTATTAATTAAGAAGATTATATTATGTGCATGCACCCCAAAAATAGTTGTAAAAGGAATTAAACAATTAGGTAAAACGATAAATTGGTATTTTACTTGTTATTGAGGCACATAACATACAAGTTGACATCATTAAACATTAACATAAGTAATCTTGAATGGAACGCCATTCATATTTAACAGTGAAAGTACCTTCAACTTGTCGCAACATGCATCATATATTCATGTACTGAGCAACGTTTTGATTTATTTAATTTATTAGGGTTTCACTTGGAGATGGAGCCACCTACTTTTTATTGGTACGTACTCTATCATTTTTGGACCCACGCAACGCACACATATTACCAATTTTGAGTCGTCGTATTTAATTATATGGCTATATTATTGATCTCCATCTTCTAACATTGAATTGAGTTATGCAAGCTAAGAGGTCTTTTACATACAATAGCTTGACTGTGCATGGAGACATACAACTAACCTCATTCTTCGAGTCGATTTATCATGGTCAAGTTCATTCCTTCGTTTATTTTTAGAAGCAACGTATATAATTACCCTAAATTTTTATGTTTAAATAAATTATGATCGAATATGCATAGTCGGATCGACATGATATGACATTGTTGACATGTTAAACCAGCTTGACACTATAATAATTCAGATCATGAAGACCACCATTATGCTCATATATAACTAATGTTGTTTTAATTTCATTATGAATGCATGCATAATGTTTCTTCAATTTACCTTCCCTTCACAAATTTTATTTTAGTAGTGTTTGTTTCTTTAATTTATCTTCACATGTTTTATGAACAAAATTTGTCACATGCAAAATGTAGAACATTTTCATTGATTGACATTATATGCATATGGGATATGGCTATTTAAAAAAGAAAAACACACACACACAAAGTTTGATAACAAATCTACAAAGTACAATTGAAGTTAAGTGATCCGATCCTCTTACATGATTGGATTTTGTAGCACACCAATTTGCCCAAATTTACAAACTAAAGTGACCTAATGGGATTAAGTATATTCTTATGTACTCTCAAAGATCCATACAACATAATATGTACAACTCTAACACGCATTTTCATCGGGCCAAAGTCACAATATTGTAATCCTAACATAAAACAAAACCATTTCAAAGGAATCAGTAGTACCACCTTACATATTTACCCCGATATAATTACGGAGTAATATACAATGTACTAATTATCATTGATGCATGAATAAATTATGATGATGGGTTGGGGGGTATATAGATTAGTAACACTTGACAGATTGCAAATCAGATAGTATAAGCAGAATACAGACGACGATCAATACAATTGTGTGTTGTATATAAATGGGGCCCAATTTATATATATGGGTCAATAATAATAATAATAATAATATCAGAGCAGCAGCAAAAGAGAAACTCCAGCTCATTCAAATGCTTTTATTTTATTTTATTTTTTTTATTTTTTTGAGCTCGTGAACTTTTATTAAAAATAAAAAATAAATAAAAAATCCAGCTGTAATAAGGTCATACCCCAATTTATGCAACTAAACGTATTTTTCACCTTCTATTTTACACACTTTGGTTGTCAGTAGTTATTTCATAGGATCATGGTGATCTTCTAGACAATTTTTTTGGACGGTTTGGCTATTTTCTTCAAGTGACTAGTTTTAATTTGGAGCGCTTTCCCTAAACAAGGTTAGGAATTCGCGTAATTCCCTAAATGCAGCCACTCTTTTATATATTCCCACTTTACCGTCCACGTCACCGGTTCAGTTGGAATTTTTTTTGACCAGTTTTTTTACAAAACCGCTACTTCAAGTAGCGATGTATTGAAGAAAACCGCTACTTGAAGTAGCGGTATACTCAATAAAAACCGCTACTTCAAGTGGCGGTTTATTAAGTGAAAACAATTCACAACAAAAACCGCTACTTGAAGTAGCGGTTTTGTTTTTAGAAACCGCTACTTGAAGTAGCGGTTTTCCCTGGACCGGAAAAAAAAAAACCCGGTTTTTTTTACCCAATGCTTACGTGGACGGTAGATTGGGAAAATGTAAAGAAGTGGCTGTAATTTGGGAATTGAGGTTTTTCTTGACATTATTTTGGGAAAGAGCTCTTTAATTTGTCCACCTTTTTTACAGATTGAAAAATATGTTCTTTGTTTTTCACATTTGTATGATATGTAGCCGACATCAATTAGTACATTACTCTGTATCAATTACTTCGTATATGAATGACGTATTATACGGGGATTATAGATTATAATGTTTGATTATGTATGTACGTACATATGGCCTGATATGATCGAGTTTGGATATTTAGTACATAATGTTTTGTAGCGTAATACAGAATGAAATTAGCATGCATGTGTGGTTATAGAATAATTTAAGTAGAAGAAAAAAAAATACTCCGTATATTGTTGTTTAAGGTTGTGCAATATTAGAATAAAGTTATTTTACGTGATGACTGTGTTGTAAAAAAAATGAATTGATGAGACCAAAACATTGCATGCATGCATGGATTGATGGTGCAGCTTATTAGAGTTACAAGCTTGTCTTGGACATGTTAAGCTAATTTATTCCTAGGTTGATGCTACTTAATGGAATTGTGGTGTACTGTTCTTTAATTAATTCATTTAATTCATGAAAAATGTCATTCAATCTAGCTACTTCAATAAGCTAATCGACATCTTCTACACGTCTAAATTAAACTTTATTTGTATTATAAAAAAAAAAAAGTTTTGTTTGAAAAAGCAATTGTATATATATATCTTACGTATAGTAACGAAAGATAAAATTATCTATCCACTCACTACAAGTCTTTATACATTGAGTAAAATGTTGAGTATTAAAACTCTTTAAGGAATGAAAGGGAAGAAAATACTAGCTCTGTATTGACAAGGGATGATATACTATGTATTACAAAAATAACTAATTCCTCTCATTTTTTTAATATTTGTAACACTTTCTTAAAAAAGAAAAATCACAATATTTACAGAATTACAGCACACTGTAATTGGAAAGTTATTTTAAGGAAAAGTTGTACTCTACCACTTCGTATGATTTCTCTTATTTAAAGTACATGACTATTAATAGCCGTTTAAAAAAGAAATACAGTATATACCTCTGTATAAATAAATGAATGCAAGGAGGGGTCATAAACCGTATTTTTTTTTTTTTTGAATAGTCATAAACCGTATTATTATAACGTTATTGCATGCTACTCCTACTACGGAGAGTGTGGACCGTCATAGATTCGGAAGTTACCTAGTCACATTGTCTAAAAATAAAAAATAAATGGAAATCTAGTAAATTGAAAGCAAGAACCATATTCTTTTTTCAATGGGGACCAATCCAAACACTACCTTATACGATTTTCCGCATGCCATAATTTTGAGGGTACTACACTACTTGACTACTACCACCCCACCTTTTTCTTGGTTATACTTGCTTCATCACGTGCTTTTTTCTCTACCTCTCTTTCTTCTATATTGGGCTGGGCCACTACACCCCTTTTATCATGACCCCGTGAACCCCGTTTTTTAACCGTTATACACACTCGATGACCCGGGTGCATAACATAAACTTCTTCCGTCCTCTTATGATTGAAACATAGTTCGTTCTTTTTGATAGGTTGATAATTAGTAGCAAAACTAGCGATATTACTTTAATTTATTTATCTAATGATAACCTCAAATTCCCTGAGTCTCTCACATTTAGTTAAAGTCAAGTATTCACTACAATGCATTTAGAATAGAATGAAGGATGTATGTTGATCTATTCTATATTTACCAATTCGTTCGACTCTCAAAGATAACACCACATTAACAATCTCTAATTGCTCCCCGAGCCTTCGATACGATGTTGGCTCCAAAGCCTTCCAACTAGCTAGTAAGGGCCTGTTCTGATTGACTGAATTGAATATTTTATGAGAGAAGAAAATTAAGAACTGAACTTAACCGAAAATAATCTGAAGAGAACATGCCCTAGTGAATAAAGTGTTGCATATAAAAGACGTAAATTTAAGGCATATAATAATTAATCAAACTTTATACTTGAAAATAATACAAGTTTCTAGTATCAACTATTTAGTATTTACTAATATTATACTTTATCCATTCTTGTAAATTACGATGTGTATATTTTTAAAAATTGCATTTTTACAAAGTCGCCTAATTTCTCTCTACTCCCTCCGTGTTTTTTTAAGTGATACATTTTCCATTTCTGGCCGTGTTTTTTTAAGTGATACATTTCCTTTTTTGGCAAAACAATACATTAAAATATTATATCTATCTCATCTCATGGTCCCCACCCAAACCCACTACTACTATTTTATTATATCTTTCATCGCACATTCATTACTTTTCAATAAACTATTAACCCCACTATTTTTTTTTAACAATTCTTTAATACTCCACTACCCCACTTACTTCTTATTTTATTTAAGTCAATTAAATTGCCTAAAACTATGTGTCGGTCAATATGTATCACTTAAAAAAATACGGAGGGAGTATATCTAATCTCAACATACATATTACATTCATTAAGCCATTAGGAAAAATGTTTATTGGGCATGGACTTGGTCATCACAATTGAGGTTAAGCCCAAATCATGAAGCCCAATAAAAAAGACCAAATAAAAAATGATCCCAAACGATGACACGTATACAAACTCAAAACCACCAAATTCACAAACCGCCACGTCATCAACCACGATAAACTAAGATAACCGAAGCAACTACTCCTCTCAGTTCATCATCTTCCATTTTTCATTTCAGGGAGGAGAGAGAAAATATGGCGGGAGGTTCGATGCTCCTACACTTCAAAAGCTCGGCGGCGCCATTAATGGCGGTTTTTGCGAGCTCAGTTAAGGAGAGAGAAATTTCCAAGCCGAAGATTGATATCGCAGTTTCCAGCGATAAAATTCGGAATTCTAGGGTTTTGGTTTTGGGCGGTACCGGAAGAGTTGGTGGTTCTACTGCCGTCGCTCTTTCGAAGCTTTCTCCTGAACTTCGTATTGTTGTCGGCGGTCGAAATCGGTAAAATTTCTCCAGATTTCTAGGGTTTGTGAATTGTGATAGATTTTTTTATTTTTTATTTAATTGTTTGATTTGGTTATGAAGGGAGAAAGGAGCAGCAATGGTGAAAAACCTTGGAGAGAAATCTGAGTTTTTTGAGGTTGATATAGGTAATGTGGACAAATTGGACGCTGCTTTACAAGGTATTATTTCTATATTTTCTGGAATTTGAACTAAATGTGGTGGAAGAAATGGAGTTGCTAGATTATTGAATTTTAAATTTTAAATTTTAAAATTTTCAATTTTAATTAGTACAATTGCAGTTTGAAATTAGCCAATTAATTCAGTTTACTTTAGTAAATTGCCGCATGTAACCGTAAATGCTGCAAAGTTGAAGTATTTGATTACTGATCATTTCTGCAGCTAATCCAATTTTCAAGGCCAATGGCGATTTGGCCTCTAATAATTTATATCTTTGATTTGATATCTACACACCGTTTGTTTAGTGGTAGTAAATGGTGGCGATGAGAATGAATTTGTACATGAAAGAAATCAAGGTCCATTCCCGTGGCAATGATTGTTCATGCTAAATTATTCTTTCACAAATCTCCATTGCCATTCAAATTATTTGGGGTGGTATTGGGAAGTAATGGAAATTTATGAAGAAAAACACAAATTTGGGATGAGATTGCATTGCTATGGACATTAGAATGTTGTTTGCTTGTTAATGTACACGTGAATTCATTCCCATTACCGCTATTTATAACCAGCTACCAACTACCTAACAAGTTGTTTAGGGGATCATGTTTTTTATAATCATGTTGTATTGTTGTGTGCGTCTATGTGTAGTATGTAGTTACGTACTGATATTATTTTATAATATATTTTAGTTTGGTCGACTATTAATACGTAGTGCATTATATATGTTATGAACATTTGCTGCTTTCTTTTCAGATGTAGATCTTGTAGTTCACACCGCAGGGCCTTTCCAGCAGACAGTAAAATGTCCTGTACTTGAAGCTGCTATTCGTACCAAGGTGAGATGAGGTAATTATCTAAGCTTTTTTTTAGATGGTTATGTTACGGATTATTGCTTGTTTTTATTCTCATTGTGTTTAAGAGTCAAAACTAGTTTGGCTTTTCGTAGTTTTTTTTTTTGTTTTCTTGACACATACTTACGCAATCTTCTTTCAGACAGCATATGTTGACGTTTGTGATGATACGAGTTATGCATTTCGTGCCAAATCATTTTGCAAAGATGCAATTGCTGCTAATATTCCAGCTATCACAACTGCCGGGATTTACCCTGGAGTGAGCAATGGTTCTTATATTTGAACATTTTTACTATTCATTTTTCTCCCTATCCATCCATATTCTTAACATTGCATGAAATTATTCACGGCATTTTAGAGTCTAATTTACCTTGTGTTACGGGGGATTTTCGTTACACATGATTAACTAAATCTTACGAGCTTAAGTGTTGCCAATGAGTATTCTTTCTACTGTTTATTTATTGTTTGGTTGACTCCTAAGTCCTAACTCATTATTTTCCTATATCACTGGAATTATGATGACAGTGATGGCTGCAGAACTTGTTCGTGCAGCAAAAGATGAAGGCAAGGGTGAACCTGAAAGGCTAAGGTGATCATTTCTGTTCTTGAGGTTTTGATATCGTGTTTTGTGATCAACCTTAAATACATTTGATATAAAGGTTCATGTAACTCTTGTCATATCTCTGGCATGGAATGTGTTCCATACTCTTTTTGCTTGATTATGTTAGTTTGCATGCCTTTATGCAAGACTTCTAATGTGAGTTCACTGGGTCTTTTTTGTTTCATGTTACCTTCAGATTCTCTTACTATACAGCGGGTACTGGAGGTGCTGGTCCAACAATATTGTCTACAAGCTTTTTACTATTAGGAGAAGAGGTTGTTGCCTACAACAAAGGTTTTCTTTCTTCCATTTTGTTACGTTATGTTGTTATACGTGTTCACTAGCAATCTTTTCATCTCATGATGTCTTGTTGGGAATACAGGTGAAAAGGTCAAACTAAAGCCTTATAGTGGGATGCTAAATGTTGATTTTGGAAGAGGGGTCAATAAGAAGGATGTATTTTTGCTGTAAGTTACTAATGTGAAATTTTTTTGTTTGACTAAGGCTTAGTTGTTGCTAGATCACTTCATTGATTATTGTGAATTTCATTCAACTGTTTTTGCCTTTTTGGCTACCTGGATATGAGATGTGTGCTGGGTTGTTTTGAACATTTGATCTCTGTGTTTGGCAATAAAAATATTTACATTTTCTAAATATCTATTGGCCTGGAAATGTTATAGCCCCTTCAAATGATCTGTCTCCAGGTCCAAAACTTAGTAGATGCAAGGTCATACAGCTACGGTTCTTGAGTGTATTTAATTGTGCTTCCTTATTAATTATCTGAATTGAACTCCGTGATTACCCTCATGAGTGCAATACACCGATTTGCATCCAGGTGCTGGCTTAGGGGTGAATCCTCTTCTCCTTTTTTGTGACTAAAACATCTATTTGAACCATGGAAAGGCTGTATCAAACTTTTGCTTGCTTTGTGCAGCCATTAATGATCCTAGTGTATAACTGGAGAATGTCCCTCAAATTTATAAGAAATAGTATATTTTCTCCAGGAATCTGCCAGAAGTAAGAAGTACTCATGAAGTTCTGGGAGTACCAACTGTCAGTGCTAGATTCGGAACTGCACCCTTCTTTTGGAACTGGGGAATGGCCATAATGACAAATCTTTTACCACCGGTATAATTTATTCTCTTCTGTTATTTTGCTAGTTTTGGCTGCTGTAGACAATGGCTCTATTGTTGGGCTAGTGGACAAACTATAAATTGCCTTACATAGAGATACCCATAGAAACTGACGTTATTTGCCAGAAAATTCAGTAGAAAGCATAAAGGGTTCATTGCTAGATGGATATTTTGATTTGATTTTATTTTATTTTATTTTTTGGGTATATATTATGAAGGCCATTGATAATCTTTTACAAGTCACACTGAACACTCAGCATGTTGGTATTGACCATTAAAAGGAATTAAAAAAAAAAAAACCTGTGCATGTAGGTTGCTGCAGTTGGTTAACCAGACACCATATTATACAACCATGAGCTCATGTGACTGGATTATGCAGGAATTTCTAAGGGACAGAACAAAGGTTCAACAGTTGGTTGAGTTGTTTGACCCTGTAGTTCGTGCAGTTGATGGTATTGCAGGGGAGCGTGTGTCAATGAGGGTAAGGTGCTGTAAACTGATTAGTGTTATACAAATTATTCCTAGTATCACTTCTAAAATTCTAAGTTCTAACGAGTCTCCCAGAGTAAGATAGTACAACTAAAGCAGTGCTTTGCTTAATTTGTTACAATCCCCTTGTAATTGTGGTCATCTATACTGCTTTCCCCCAGGTTAGGTAAGTGGCTATTTACGATTTTATATCTATTTGACAGGTTGATTTGGATTGTTCAAATGGGCGCAGTACAATTGGTGTATTCACTCATAAGAGCTTGTCAGTGTAAGTATCAGGTTTATAGTTTTAGCCCAGCTGTTACTCCTTACTCCGTATAAAATTGACATGCTGGTTGTGTGTTTATTGCTTGGGTTGAGCTTGCTGCACTTTATGAAATTTTAAAAGACATCACATTCCCAGAAGCAGCATTGCTTGAATCTTTTGGAATTTAAAAACAGACTTTTCAGAATATTTAATGGGACTTTTGCAGTGTCTATCTCTGGTATAATGCTTTCTAATAAAGGTGTAGGATACTTTGACATGCGTAAATATGCTGTTAAAGAAAATAGAACTATATACTAGGAGTGGAAATATATTCTGAGACTGCAATCTGTGTAAGAAGGCAGGACCCTACTTTTAGTATGATGGTCTAGTATTGATGTAATATTACCTGGTGATGAATTTAGTTGAGGACTTTTTCTGTGTCTCTACCAGGAATCTTCTAGCTATCATCTTTTGCTGTTGTTTTGGGATCCTTTTCACCTAATTCTTGCAATATTGTATAGCTGGCTTAAGAGTGCAAATGTTAAGAATATTTAAGGCACTTTTCCTAAAAAAAGTCCGCTTCACCATTAGTGTATTACTTGTTCACAGATCGGTTGGAGTATCTACTGCTGCATTTGTCCTTGCAGTCTTAGAGGGTAGTACGCAGCCTGGGGTATGGTTTCCGGAAGAGGTACATACTTTAAGATCCTCTATTGTCAAATACCTGAGAACTTCAATCGTACACTTTCATGACCTGGCCCCCATCCCCTCCCCCAAATTATTCCTGTTAACTTGATGTTGTTGAACAAAAGTGTGTTTATTTTTAAATATAGCCTGAAGGAATTGCAGTAGAGGCCAGGAATGTTTTATTGGAGCGTGCAGCCCAAGGAACGATCAACTTTGTGATGAACAAGTACATTTTTTTTTTATTTTATTTTTTTATTTTTCATTATTAAAAGACTAATCTAATTGTTCTGTTTTTGTTCTTGATCTTCGGCGTATTCATGGTCTTCATTTTGTGTTAACAGGCCTCCTTGGATGGTGGAGACAAACCCAAAAGAGCTTGGCTTAGGCATATATGTCTGAGATATGCTGCACTGAATTTGAGTGACAGGTTTCAGCTGATAGTTCTATACCACCATACAACAATGAAGTGACAGTTCTAACTTTGCTGTTTCTGTGTACGAGGTCGATGACAAAGCTTAGCAAACAACAGTTTGAATCATGATCCATGAGTTACCTTCAAATGTCTGCAAGATGGACATTCAAGCATCTATAATCTGATGCTTAATCAACTCAGCAAATGAATGGTAACGAAAGATGGTGCCTCTACTATACCATCTTACATCAACTTCCGTCTTATGGTTTGGAGAAAGTCTGGAGAAATATGTAAATGATTCAGGTGACAATATATAGTTTTGAAATTGGATTTGTAAATGATTGCTTAGAAGACCTGTCAAGGAATGATCTCAACTTAAATAAACCATGTTTATGAGATGTGGAGTTACTTTTACAGCTTTACCATTTGTAATCCATAAAATCATACCAAGTATATAGTACGAGTATACTTTCTTATGTTTATCTAAGACAACACTTTACCCTTGAAATTAAAAATTTCTTTTTTTTTTTTGACAATATTTCTTTGTCAAAGTGAAATTTCCCGTCTCCAAAAAAAAAAAAAAAAAAAAAAAAAAAAATAATTATATTTCATTTTATGTATTTTTAAATATTCGTAGTAACTTTTCGTATACACTACTGCTTCTCTCTTAATAAAAACGTGCCTAAAAGAAAGACTAGATATTTTTGATTGTCTGAAGCCTAGCATGATTTCAAATAGTTTCTAATGCCACCACAAGCACATGCCTACATTCAGTCGTTCATTATCATTCATGAAGTGCCTGTTGTCATAAATTATCAAACCTATTATTCCCGTATACTAAAGAACCATCAATCCCACCTAATCTTGAATGATTTTAAATGTGGTTTGCACTAGTATAATGAAGATGAACCTTAATAAAATTTCCCCATCTATTTTTATTAATATGAGAAAATACAAGTTTATCTTCATCAATAAACAATTAAACATTTACGGAGTATTTATTTAGTGACATTTCTCGCAAATGAAGATTACAGTGCATGGACCAATTCAACACAATAAAATTTGGTACGGGTTGAGCTTGAGCCATAAGATCCAACGTACAATTTTGGAAAGTTTAAATTATTGATGGATTAGGTATCTCCATCACATCTCACACATGCATCCAAATCATCCAATTACGTTAACTTTGCCCAGATGATTGGAACCCAATATTTAAACAAGTGTATTGTGTATACATTGACTACATAATACATGGTCTATTATTTTCTCATATTTGAGAGGAGAGAAAAATTATGGCGGGTTATTCTTTACTCCTTAACTTGAAAACCGCAATGCCACCGTTGACTGCGGTTGCGAGCTCGGTTAAGGATAGAGAATGTACTGCTGGTAGTTATAAGGTTTCGAATCCTAGGGTGTTGTTTTTGGGTGGTACTGATAGTGTTGGCGGTTCTACCGCCCTTGCTCTTTCTAAGCTTTCTCCTCAACTTCGTATTGTTGTTGGTGGTCAAAATCGGTATTTGTCTTTCTTTATTTGTTCGTTTTTGTGTTTCCACGTACTCCCTTTGTCTCAAAATAAATGAATTTATATTTTTGACATATATATACTCAATTACTCATCAATAAATTAAATAAGTTTACTAATATTTCTAAATATCTCTAAATGTAAATTTTATGAAAAATGACACGTTGAAAATATATATTTAAGATAGATTTTTACATCATATATTAAATTAGAAAAAATTAAGTTAAGGGGAGGTATGAAAAAAGTGCAAAAAGTCAAGTGATGCATCTGTTTTCGAATCGAGGAAGTAAGTTGCTAACATTCATGGATTATTTTTAAATGTTTGGTTTGATTATATTAGGAAATTTTTGAAAATAACACCTCATTTTTTCAAAAAAATGGACTATAACACCACCTTTTTTCGTTTTTTTATTATAACACCATCTAATAAAATTAAATTAAGAAATCACCACCAGAAAACGGATGCTGTGACGGAAATTGTGTGTGGGTCCCACAGGTTAGCTTACCCTCCAAATTTTTGAGTTCTTGAATTCGATTTTCTCTCTCCCTGTTTCATTACTCACTCTCCCTCATTCATTACTCAACTATTCCCTCATTAATTTCTCAGTGATAAAGATTCAACCACCAAAATTGCGAATCAGAATCAAACCCTAGGATAATTTGTGTAGTTGGGAGAGTGAATTGCAAGGAGAGGTGTCAGTGTTTGAGCGAAACAACTCAGCCATATTCGTCAGCCATTTTCGACCTACATAAAGCTTGTACTTTTCTGGGTTTCTAACAGCGACAGGAAGAAGAATCTGAAAGAGGTACCACATGAAACTTGTATTTTACTTTGAATTTACTTTTGGTGTCAATTTTGCAATATTGATGTTCAGATTAGGGCTAATTTGGGGAAAAATATCGCTGACTATAAAATAGTCAAACTTTTGTTTGAATTACTCTGAATTATGGGTAATTAGGGTTTAATTGGGTAATTTTGTTTATGTAGTGCTTCATTGAACTTAATTGTGTGATTTTTGTGTAATTGGAATCATTAGTTTGTTGCAAAGTTATCTGTACTTTACTTTAATTGAAAATTGATGTAAATCTGAATTGTTAATTATGTTGGAATTAGTGCTTGCTTTGTGGTTGTGCAACTGGGATATAATATGTTAACTTATGTTCCTTTTTGGTAGTTGTGTTGACTGTTTTTGCATTTCTTTATTGTCTAGATAATGACCACAACAGATGGTATGGTTGATATTGTTTTTAGAGTGGGGGGTGCTTTTGTTCCCAAGAGAGTGCACAAAAAAAAGAGTTTAATTGTCTACTGTGGTGGGTTATGTTATTGGAGGAGGGGTGTGAAAGTTAATAAGCTTGATGTGCCTTACATTAGGGAAGCTGCAATTCATGGTTTTGTCAACTTTAGTGTCAATGTGGCTACTCTTTACAGCTGTTGGTATAGGGAAAAAGGAAAAACCTTCAATACTGGGAAAAGGGAAATAGTCAATGAAGATGAAATTAGGGGACTTTTACAAACAGTTAATGGGCAAGGGTATGTTGAAGTGTTTGTGTCTTCAGATGATGAATCAGTGAGGCCCAATATTGTTGAGGCCCAACACACTCCAAAGAAGGCTGTAGTACCAAAGGGGAAGAGTGCATGTAAGAGTTTGCAGCTTAGGAGAAGCCCTAGATTACATAAGACTGATGTACATGAAAGTCAAAGGGAACAGAGCTCACCCAAACCTAGATCTATATTGCCTCCCACAAAGAACAAGGGAAAAGGGAAAGTAGATACTTGCAAAGGGCTGTCTGGAGCTTCTGGTAGTGGGAAGGATAAGGATAAGGGGAAAGGGAAGCTAGTTGGGAAAGAATTGTTGTTTGAGAGTGATAGTGATGATGACAGATCTGGGAGTGAGGAGTTTTAAAGTGATGATTGTAGTGATGTTGACATAAATTGGGAACCAACTGAAGAGGAGTATGATGATGGTGATAAGCAGTGGTTTATACAAGATGCAGGGGTGATTCTTGAGGAGGTTGACAAGAAACTAAGAAAGGGTTTACAGAAAGAAGGTGGGGGCCTTAGTGAGAACTTGGATGTTGCTGAGGTTCAGATTGAAGTAGAAGATGAAGGAGATTCTGATGAGTTAAGAAGTTTAGGTGGTTCATCTGATGAAGAGGACCATAGTCCTGTATTTAATGATAAGGTTGACTTCACCAAGGCTGTAAAACTGGTTTCAAACTTGAAGTTCAAGGATGCTACTGTGTTGAGGAAAGATTTAAGATTGCATGCCATTGAAAACAGGTATGAATTCTACTTCTTACATAATGACAGCACTAGGATCACTATTCAATGTAGGAATAGATGTGGCTGTCAGTTTAGTGCAAAGACAAGTAGGATGCCCCTTTGTACATGTATAGGTGTAGTTAGGTGCAATACTGGTTATCCTTGTGTTCATGCTTATGCATGTGTGATGGACCAGAGATCTGATATTGAGCAGTTTGTGCACCCATACTACAACATAAACACCTACAGGAAGGCTTATGAACCCCCTATTCAGCCAATGCCAGGTCCTAAGCATTGGGACAGGGTGAATGTCAGAGGACCACTTCCATACAACCAGGAAGACCTAAACTGAAAAAAAGGAAGTTGGAGCAGGATGAAGGATCATCAAAAGGGGCCCAGCAACAGAAGCCCAAGCATAGGAAGAACCAATGCACTGAATGTGGTGGGTTTAGGCATTATGCAAAGACTTGCAAAGCTGAAGCTGTTCCCGAGCCATCTGAACAAAAAGCAGAAGCAGCAGGCAGGCCTCCCTTAAACTCACCTTGGGTAGTGGATCAAAGGAAGAAGAAGGAGGAAAGAGCTGCAAGGAAGGTAATACATTTTAGCTAGCACATGTTGTCTAATTTATGTTTATGTGCACATGTCTGTTCGCCAGTTATGACCTCTTTTTTTTAAAAAAAAACCTATGACAGAATGCCATTGGAGCTGTGCCAAACAACATTGGCAACAGGACATTTCCACAAGAGAGGCCTGGATGGGAACCTTGGAGAAAAAGGAAGGCTCCAGTATCACAACAACAATCCCAGGATGCAGCCCAAACAAGGCCTTCTTCTAGTCAGCCAACTGCAAGCAAAACAGCCACCACCAGCTAAGTTGGAGTACAAACCAGGAGGGGAAAGCTTCAAAATGCTAACAAGCTTAATCTTACTCAGTGATTAATATGTAATCAACTTCATTTTGTATGACTGCAGACAATAATTTAGGTGCTTTATTGTTAGTTTGTTTAAGTCAGTAGGTTGTGGTGTTAGTTTTGAACAAATAACTTGATTTAAGTCTTTTGTATGCCTCTTTTGTTGCCAAACTTTGTGCATATTCTGGCTTAATGGTCAATATAACTACTTTTGTGCAAATTGTTGCTTTGGGTGATTTATTAAAGTTGTTTATGTTATTTGAAACATTGCTCATTCATTCCAAACATACATTGCAAACACTTTACCATTCATTAAAAGCAAATGTGGATTCAACCCACTTCATTTACAATACATAACAACCAGTGCTCCCATGTCCATTGCATATTACTGAATACATTAGTAACCTACTCATACTACACCTACTTAAACATAAAAGACACTACAGCTGCAACAACAATACAAATAATACCAACAAGCCATAGTTTAAACTGTTGATCCATGCATCCCCTGCCCTCACCATCTTTGCTCATTCTCTTTCTGACAGAGTTGAGGGCCTTACATTTTAGCTTCAAATTGTCAACCTCATTGAGTAAGCACCTCATTTGGCCACTTAGATCTTCCACTTCCCTTTTGTAGTCACTAACTTCACCCTTTAACAACTTCTTATCAAGCAACAAATTGTTGATAACCTCTGTTTGCCATGTTGTCCCATTAGGTTGATCAGCCCATTCAAAGGCTTTACACCCTCTACTCTCAGTCACTGGATCATAAAACTTACAAGTTCTGAATTTTCTTCCAGGATTCTCCCTTGTCCAGCTTGTCAGCTTTGATAAGGGAACACCACTGCACATTGACACTTCTTCTCTTTCAAAGGAGATGAGCTCATGAAAGACATCACCTGCAACAAATTACCTTCCATTAAAATCCAATTGATCTGAACTAAATATGGAATTACATATAATAGGACTCAGTCCCCGAAATAAAAAAACCACCAATTTAGATATAGGACGAACCCTAACTTTAAAATTGGGATGATATGGGTCCAATTCAAAAAAGTTTAACTCCAATTATAAATCCATTGCATGCTCAATCGAGTATATCAACGATTAAATTGCAAATAGCATTTCAGATTTCCATTAATCAAAATCAAAGTTCTACTCTTATTCAAAATCGGTGTACATACCTTATTTCAGCACTCCCAGCCAAGATATCTTCAAGGAATGTTAATTCGTAGTGCTAAGATCAGTTTTGGTTAATTAATTTCTGCAATTGAAAAGATTCAAGGGTTTAATTTTTTTCCCAATTGAAAAATATGAACGTTAATGAAGAAAATCGAAGATATGTATAAAGGTTTCCAAAAAGTATCCGTTATAGTGGGCCCCATTAACAGTTTCAATAACGGAGTACTGTTTCTGGTGGTGATTTCTTAATTTAATTTAATTAGATGGTGTTATAATAAAAAAAACGAAAAAAGGTGGTGTTATAGTCCATTTTTTTGAAAAGATAAGGTGTTATTTTCAAAAATTTCCATTATATTATGAAGGGAGAAAGGAGCAGCAATGGTGAGAAATCTTGGGGTGGAGTTTGTTGAGGTTGATATAGATAATGCAGAAATATTAGAGGATGCTTTACAAGGTGATTTTTTTTAGAATTAAGAGTATATATAACAACAATTCTTAACTTTTTGATCATAGGAAAGTTGAATATAAGGTACATGACACATACTTAATTTAAAATGAACATTATTAATTTTGTTACAGTTTTTGTTTTCAGAAGTAGATCTTGTAGTTCACACTGCAGGGCCTTTCCAGCAGACAGAAAAATGCTCAGTACTCGAAGCTGCTATTCGTGCAAAGGTGAGATGAGGTCATAATCTAAGCGCGTACTTAGATGATTTTGTTGATGGATGATTGCTTGTAATGTGATTCTAATTATGTATTAATGTGCATTATTGTGTTTAAGAGTCAATAGCTAGTACTAGTTTTCGTTTTTGGGACATTTTGTGTATGTGTTTTCTTGACTCATACTTTTGTGATCTTCTTATATACAGACAGCATATATTGATGTTTGTGATGATACAAATTATGCATCTCGTGCCAAATCGTTTTGTAAAGATGCTATTGCTGCAAATGTTCCTGCTATCACAACTGCCGGGATTTGCCCTGGTGTTAGCAATGGTATTTTTTTTCTCATTGTCCTTTCCATATTTTTTGTGTTGACATGATCTGTTCATGACATTCTAGAGTCGAATTCATGCTTGGGGTATGAAAATTTTAAGCATGTGCAAGCCTAAGTGTTGCCAAAGAGTCTGCTTCCAATTATATTTTGTTTGATTGATTGACATTCCTTATTTTATTTTCGTTCCACTGGAATTATGATGACAGTGATGGCTGCAGAACTTGTTCGTGCTGCAAGAGATGAAGGCAGGGGTGAACCTGAAAAGCTTAGGTGATCATTTCTGTTCTTAAAGTTTCGTTGTTATGTTTTGTTAACCCGTGATCAACCTTCACAGTTTGTGCTGCGTAGATCTTAATTTCAAGTTTTATGCAGCTCTTTTCTTGACTTGATTAAGACGGTCTTATGTGAGTAGTTCACTGGGAATATTGCTTGTTGAATGTTATTCTCAGATTCTCTTACTACACATCCGGTACTGGAGGTGCTGGTCCAACAGTATTGTCGACAAGCTTTTTACTTCTAGGAGAAGAGGTTATTGCCTACAACAAAGGTTAACTTCTTCCATTTTGTAACCCTTTTTTGTTTTACATGGTTATAAGCATTCATCAAAGGTTTCATCCTATGAAGTCTTGTTGTAAAATCAGGTGAAAAGGTCAAACTAAAGCCTTATAGTGGGATGCTTAATGTCGATTTTGGAAAAGGAATTAATAAAAGGGATGTATATTTGCTGTAAGTTACTAATATTGAAAAGTATTATTTTCTTCTGTTTTCTGTCAAGAACAATATATTCCATTCAACTGCTATCGACCATCTTAGTATGTTCCTTTTATGTTGTTGTAAGCTATGATCCTAATGTATAGCATCTGTTACTTTTCAGTAGAAGATGTTACTTAATTTGACAAGGAATACTGATTTTTCTGCAGACATCTGCCAGAAGTAAGAAGTGCTCATGAAGTTCTGGGAATACCAACTGTCTGTGCTAGATTAGGGACTGCACCCTTCTTTTGGAACTGGGGAATGTCCGTGATGACAGATCTTCTACCACTGGTATAATTTAGATTGCTGCAGTTGGTTAACCGGGATGTCATACTTCGTGTTATACAATACATCCATGAGCTTGTGTCACTGGATTATGCAGGATTATTTAAGGGACAGAACAAAGATTGAGAAATTGGTTGAGTTGTGTAATCCTACAGTTCGCGCAGTTGATGGTATTGTGGGGGAGCATATCTCAATGAGGGTATAATCTGTTAACAGTCCCTTCATATCATTAATTAGTTGATGGTTATTTACAAATGATTTATGTCATTCTTTCTATCTGATAGGTTGATTTGGAATGTTCGAATGGGTACAGTACAGTCGGATTATTTACTCATGAGAGATTGTGTGTGTAAGTATCATATCAGGCTTATAGATAGTCTTAATACTTGTACATTTTGTGTTATAAGCTTATATAGAGTACAAATGTGAAGCTCGATCATGTTTAAGGCTGTACGTACATAATTGTTCACAGATCGGTTGGAAAATCTGTTGCTGCATTTGTCTTAGCAGTCTTAGAAGGTAATACACAACCTGGGGTGTGGTTTCCAGAAGAGGTACATGCTTTAGACTCCTTTAATGTCAGGATTCGAGGACTGACATCGTACATTTTTCATGCCTTTTTTTGTGTTTATTTATCAAATTTTCCTGTTAAACTTGCTGCTGCTAAACAAAAATGTTTGTATATAGCCTGAAGGAATTGCAGTAGAGGCAAGAAATGTTTTATTGGAGCGCGCTGCTCAAGGAACGATCAATTTTATGATGAACAAGTACAATTTTTAATGAACTGACTTTAATTTAGTTGCTTAACTTTAATTTGGTCCTTGATCTTAGGCTGATTTCATGATGTTTATTTTGCATGATTCAACAGGCCTCCTTGGATGGTGGAGAGTCAAACCCAACATAGCCTGGCCTAGGCATATACGTCTGAGGACGGTTGAATTCAACTTGACTGACTAATTTGAGCAAGCAATTAATATAAGAATAAAGTGTCACTGTCATAAATACTTTCTCCGTCTTTTTTTTTTCTAAGAAATTGAGTACGGAAAAGGTGTTTAAATGGAATGAACAACTTAGCTTAGACTTTGAACTTAAACTTTCATTACCAAATATATAAAATCATCTACTAGTAATTGATTGCTTTAGCAAATGACAATTGACAATTAATTACATTAATATTTGACAAAGCAAGTATATTATCCAAATAGAAAGAGTGTTTGGCCGCTGAAACAAGGAGAAGGCAAGTGACAAAAGGTTAAGGCTAAACTAAAGGTCATGAAGGTCAATTCACATGGGCCCATTGCATATGGCACTATATAGATGATTGACTACTACATTTGCAAATAATCCTACTAATCAATCATATTGCTCCATAAACAGCAAATTGGAGAGCCTCTCAAAAGAAGCATATTTCCTTGTTTTTCTCTTTTTTATTTTTCATTGTTTGAATATCTATCTTCAAAAAAGCTTATAATTCACAACCTCTATACATATCTTAATTGCTTTTTTTTTTGGTGCAAATATCTTAATTGCTTATAAGTATATACAAATACTTACGTTAACTAAATATTCATTGATGAGATTGTAAAATTTACATGTATTTCAATACTTCATAATTCTATACTTACATAAACATGATAAATTGGTCGATCACAAATCATTAAATCTTATATGTAATGTGTATTACACTCTCGACCTCCTTATTTCCTTTTTCTCAACATATCAACTTCAGTTTTATATTCGGAGAAATATGAATTGATGTTGCGGATTTACTATTTCATTAGGAATAAAATTTTTAGAGGCTATTTCCGATCAATTAGGCAAATGAAATGTGATAAATATTCTAAATTAATATTGAAAAATGTACGTTTGTACATGATATATTTGCAAATGAGATAATTAGGCACCTTTCAATTTCATCACAGTTAATTGGCTAATAATTGGTGTTAGTTGTCCTAACACATTTACTTTTGTACAGTATTTGACACATACAACCATCTATGTCTTTTCATATTTCTTTCCAAAAATAAAGGAGTAAAATAAGGTAGTACTCACAAATCATAACTTTCATAAGTCATAAAAGAAGAAGAAAATCTTGCACTGTGAAAAAGTGTTGCTCTACTCCATATTAAAATGATCCTGATTTTTAAACATCTTTTCTAAACATTAATTGTATGTCCCCTTATGTGGCAAAATACATTAGTACTTGAACTATCCAAAAATGATCACTACATTGACTCAAGAATCAAGATTCCAGCTTTTAAAATGTAACTTGATCTTAGTTAATGATCTCCATAGGCATATAGCTGAAGCCTACCTGAAGAGGACAGGGTTAAAACTTTCAACACCGTGTTTAAAACAGGAATAGATAGTGATTTATAATCGGATTATTTCCATTATCATTAGGATTAAAGTTCCAATGAAATGAGTTTAATATACAATTATAATACTGACAATCGCTTTAACGAAATATCAAATGGTATTTGCATATATGCAGGGTAAAGATATATTAAGTGCGCTTAACACTTCAAACTTCAGAAAAACGAACTTTTTCGATGCATCTATTATATTTCATTTACAAGTTAATTAGTGTTTCTATTTGCGCCATCAGGTTTCTAAATATGCATGACTTTGATTCTTAATCTTGTTATTATAGAGTATTCAACCAGATGATTATTTCTGTAAACAACCGGAGATTATTTAAGAAATTAAGACAACTTTCACCGAACATTTTAAGATTGATGAAAAGATTATAATTGATGATCGGAATAGTTGAAAATCAAAAGAAAAGAGAAAATCGAGAACGGAAAAGAAAAGAAAAAAAAAGAAAGGGAAAGAAGTGATCACATGAAGTTTGCACTTTTGCTGACCCAGATCAAGAGACGTAGCTATCAATCTTCACACCCTAAAACAACATAAAATCAAATGTCGTGCCTCACCCTAATCTAAAAACAACAACCCTTTATTTTTCTGATTTTCTCCTTAATTATTTCCTTCATAACCAAGCATAAATAACGGTTGACATCTTTTTTGAGGCATTTCGTCGAACACATAGCATGCATCTTGATACAGGGGGATGAAGATTGGTATTCACAGGCTTGTTGATTTGATGAAGCCTTTCTTGACATGTCGTCGGTGTTGCTAGACTCCGGCGCATCAGTTTTCGATACTTCCAATTCTAAGAAAGGTCAGATTTTTAGTACTTTGCCTATTTCTTCGTTGGGGTTTTCTGGGTTCGTTTCAAACGATCAAATTGCTTCATCATTCAACATGAATCCATATGGGCAATCTGGGTTTGTGAACTCTAGTCAAATGAATGCGAAATTTGAGTTTAGTTCACCGTCAACTTCGAATTTGGGTTCTGAAAAGCCCCCATTTAGCTCAATTCCTAGTCTTTCAAGGCCAAGATTGGTGAAGTCTAGGAAATCTCAAAATCCCAGGTCAATGGGAAGCTCAGAAACCCGGAAAATCGATCCGGGTTTTAATCCGTTTCGCCCCGTTTCGGATAATCTAGCAGGGGTTTCATCTAGGTTGGAGGGTAAAGATGATGATGAAGTATATATGAATAGTAATAGTAGTAAGAATTTAAAAATTAAGGTTGCTAGTAAGGTTGAGAAAGTAGGGGATGCACTTATTGATGAAATTAGGAAATTGAGAATTGAGAATCAAAATATTGGTAGACAAAGTGGCAATAATGTGTATGAAAGTGGGAGTTTGAGCTCGATTGGTGTTCAGCAACCTAGCAATGTGGCACCTGAGCTTCTTGATAAGATACATAATTTGAACTTGGGAGGTTTAGGTACCGGGAGCTCGAGAGGTTCCGGTGTTGGTGAAGGTCATGGTGTGCATAATGTGAGTAGTTCAATTGGTACTTCATTGGCATCTGAACTTCCTAATGATTTGGAGAAGTTGAATCTCAAAGATACTGGTGAATTTCGTAGCGATAGTTTTGGTTTTGGTGCTTCTGATAGTAGTAAATTTGTGTTTGGGGGCAATAGGACAATGGAAGATTCTAATGACCCTAGCATTGCGAGCGCACTCTCTAGGATTAAGAACTTGAACATAGCTGATCCTGACGAAAATAGTGGTACTAAGAAACAAATGAATAGCAACATGAACAATCCGACATTTGGCTCTGTGGATGCTAATAGAACTGAATCTGGTGAAGAGGTGGACGTAGATACGATGATTTTGGATGAGATGGTGAAGTTGAAAATTCTTGGTGATACAAAGGAATCTAGTGATCATGCCAATGCAACTGACAGTTCATATCCAAGGACTGAACCACTTGGAAGCATGAGCAAGGAAGATAGTAGAATATTATATCCCACGGAGTTCCTAAACCCAATCAAGGAACAAAAAGAGCATTCAGTTGGTCCTCAAGTAGCTGATTACCAATCGAATAAAGGCTCTGTATTTCGTGAAGCATCCGCATCATCAACATCATCTCTTTCATCTGGCAGCCTACACTTTCAGCCGGTGAGGCACGAATTTGAAGTGCCTTGTACTGATGGTACTGTGAAGAAGGAAGGTTTCGCTTTTGGTTACAACCAAGAAGGTTCAAGGATTCCCTTTGTTGAATTTAGAACACCTGATTCGAAAGTGCAAACTGGATACAGCACCAAGGGACTAGTTAGAGATGCTAAATCCAAAGGGAGGAAGGCAAAAGTAAAAGAAACTAAATCAGTCTTGATGTCTATTGGGAATAATTTTACATCACAGGAGAATAACTTCCAACATGAACCTTCTGAGTCTTATTCACCTATGGATGTTTCTCCTTATCGTGAAACTGGGGATGCCGAGCAATCAAGTAAAGAGCCTTCATTGACAACTGAGAGCCGGGCATCACTTGAAGCACACGCACCCCTTTCTAATGATGCAACAGATGAGGATTTGATTAGAGCTACAGAAAACATGGACATTTTTGAAAACAATGATGTGAAGCATGGTGAAGCAGAAGAGCAAGTTTCAGAGTGCACTGGCAATACATGTGCAGCTATGGCAAGCTCTCCAGTGGATTTTGTGTCTGCAGCTGAAAGTGAAAGTTTTATGTCTGCATATGAGAATTTGGATGAAAATGGAGAAAATGAGGTTGAATCAAACAGTGTGGAACAAAATTGTGATCAAACTCGATATTTCTCCACTGCAAGTTCTGCAACCAGTGGAGAATCTTCTTTCACTTTTGCTGCTTCCTCTTCTGCCCAAGGTCAAACATCAACTGCTACTCGGTTACATAAGAAGAAAATTCGTATGAAAGTTGGCCCAGATATCTATATTCCCGCTAGGAGTACTATATTATCTGATTCACAGTTTTCTCCCATTTCTAGAGTTTCTGTCCTTCCTTCACAGGTGGTGCAAAGTGATACTGTACCAACTGCTCCCTTAAAAGGTATTAAAAAGGTTACCTCTTCAACAAACATGTCAGTAGGAGGTAGTATTGTGGGAGATGCAAAGAAAGCTATATCATCTCCAACAGCACCAGCTCGTGCAGCACAAGAAGCTTGTGAGAAGTGGCGTCTGAGGTGCTTTTCATATTTGACTATTCTGATTGTTTGCAATATTTTGTTTTCTTTACCATTCTATTTTTGCTGTTGAATATTGCTAAATGCTAACATGGTAGACACCTTTAGGGTGATTTATTCAGTTTCTAATTCGATTACCATTTAGTTTGAGTTATTTAAGATTGCTTAGTGCTAACTATGATGAAGACTTTCAGGGGAAACCAAGCTTATGCAAATGGAGATTTGGAGAAAGCAGAGGCTTATTATAGCCAGGGGCTGAGCTGCATTCCTCAACATGAGACATCTAGGGACTGCCTCCGAGCATTGGTCCTTTGCTACAGTAATCGAGCTGCTGCTCGTATGTCTCGTGGAAGAATTAGAGAAGCATTACGAGACTGTCTGGTTGCCGCTGACATAGATCCCAGCTTCTTCAGAGTTCAACTCAGAGCTGCAAAGTAATGCTCATAAAATACATGCCCTAATGTCTTTTCCCTGTAGTTTAAGCTTGTGTGTTGTGTTACTTTTAGCCTTTTGGGGTAGGAAGTGTGACTTGTGTAGGGATCTGTTACATTTTATTCTGGAACATAGTTTGTCCTTTATGCCTCTTTATCCCTCTTCATCTGTTTTCTTTTGTTGAACTAGCTGCTACCTTGCTCTTGGTGAAATTGGCGATGCATCACTGCATTTCAAGAGACTGTTGCAGTCGACTGATATCTGTGTGGAGCGGAAAATTATTCTAGAAGCTTCAGATGGCCTACAAAAGGCACAGGTACCTATTTAATTTGTCAGTGTTCTTTTAATTGGCCATTCCAAATCACTGCTATTTTCCACCTCCAAATAAAAAACATAAATTAAAAGTGCTCATGCCTCTGTTCCAAGCGAAATAATGACAAAGTTTCTTATGCAAAAGGAAAATTCTATTTATTACATATAGCTGAGCACAAAAACTGGGGGGGGGTGGGGTTTGAAATTTATGCTTTCAATGTCAGTATTTTAGCCTTCTAGGCAGGATTTTCAAGATCAATAATTGACACTTGGGCATTTTGATTAGGGGAATACTAGAGGGAGTTTTACTAATACTAAAGACAATGTATCAGATTTTTGAGGTTGCTCAATACTGTTGCTCTTCTTGAATTGTGATGTTTGCCTACTGCCTTACCCCTGTCTGCCTCTTTGACTTTAGTTACTGGGATAGAGTAGCTTTTAAGGGAATATTTTTCATATAAAGCCACATAATCTTTTCACTTTTTCAAGGATTGGGATCTTGGGGATCTGGAGGGTTAATATATATACTTGCTTATGTATGGTCCATATAAGTATTTGTTAGTGCTGTATTCCTGTTGAGTTTGTATTTAAGCTAATGATACCGTGTCTTTGTGATCACTTGCTAGGATATATGTGTTGGATTTGTTTTTTGCTTGGCCTTATTTTTCTAGCATATGGGGAAGTATGGGACACTAAATTTTGATGTAATTTCCTTCTTTGTCTATAAAAAGTTCTAGCGTTTATTTGTAGATGGTTCACGGTCTTGGATTGATCCATTATGTTGCTGTATAGACTCATTAAAGTTATGTTTTCAAGTTGATCGTCTAGACTTTTTCCCATATGCTGCTAGTCACAAGGGCGTTAGTTTTCCCAAAATCCATTTAAAAAGTAAAACATGTTGTGACATGTATTTGGAGGAGTGTTTACCGAGTCATGATTAAGTATGCACTGTAGCATAGGGGTGTAATAATTGCAAATTTTTTAAAACCTGTGATAAGATGGACTTAAATGTGTTGACTTGCAGAAAGCATCTGAATCCATGGGTCATGCTGCTCGACTTTTGTTACAAAGGACGCTGTCTGATGCAGAAACTGCTCTAGGAGTGATTTCTGAGGCCCTAATTATCAGTCCATACTCAGAGAAGTTGCTTGAAAGTAAAGCAGAAGCACTATTTATGGTTTGTAGCTTTGTCAATGCTCTTTTTTGTTTTCCCTTCTAGTCAATGGTTATCTTGACAGCTTTATATAAGACTTTTTCATTTGCAGTTGCGAAGATATGAAGAGGTGGCACAGCTATGCGGGCAGACTTTGGAAACTGCTGAAAAGAATTCACCTTTACTGGGTGCTGATGGACAGTCACCATGTTTGGAGGCTTCTGAGCTCTTGGAGAGTTATTCTTTCCGGATTTGGCGATATTGTTACATATTCAAATCAAACTTTTATTTAGGAAAGCTGGAAGAAGCTGTTGATTTTCTGGAGAAGAAAGAGTGTTGGAGGTCTATGGTGGCCAAGTAATGCATCCTCTATTGTAATTTATTTTAACCTTTTTGTGTTAAGCATGACTTTCTCAAATTATGACTCAATGCTAATAAAATATTCTAGGTTTGGAAATGAGACTATTGAATCATTTATACCACAACTTTCAACTGCACATGAGCTGATAAATCATAAGGTACGTCATTGCATTTTTTTTTTCCCTTTCCCTTTTCCTGTTTTGTCTGTAGTGGCTTATATTTACTGTTGCTCTTTATGTTCTATTTAAAATATCCTCAGGCTCTTTGTTGTCAACCACAGAACAGTTAATCAGTTATAAGTGTCCTACTTTGTCAAACACTCCTGTACCCTTGTCTCGCTGTTGTCAGACTTAAATAGGCTGTTCTACATTAGTGTCGAAGTCGAATAGCAAGGATCACTATTATATAGAGTTGCCATCCTACATGAGCAAATTCAGCTTAAAAAAATTCTGGAAGAATTCTCGGGTGTCCATGTTTCCTTGCTTTAGAAACGTTACTTCTCTGAATACTCTTTCCGTGCCACACTCCCACATTATAGTTCCTATTTGCCTATTTCTGAGACCCTAAATGTTGTTCTTATTTATATTTTTGAATCGTATGTAAAGACCATTATACCCTCATTTTTTTTTACTTTATTCATTGTACTTCCTAAATTACCCTTGATTTTTCCACTTGCCTTGTATTTTTTCCACATTCTCTCTAACTTTTGTCTATAATTGTACTTTTCACTTTTTTTAATCATACTTCATCCACTTTCTCCTCCCATTTTTTAAATACTGTGAAAAAACACAAACATCTATTCATTCTTAAGTACTATTTTTTTTGTCTTGAAAAAATATACAAAAGTTAGAAATAATTTTCTATTCATTCTGTAATGTCTACGGAAGAATTTTCTGTTCATTCTGTAATGTCTAGGGAGTATATAGGGATATGGATATTGTCCCCTGTTAAGGTAGCATATCATTCTGTTACAATTACAACTTAGCAAGCTTTGATGTTAGCATGTAGGATGGTTTTTGTCAGTTGGCTTCTTAAGTCTTCAAGTCAAACTTTTACTTCCTTTTTGGTTTCCACTTGCATTTGTTAGCAATTTATGTCTTTGATAGTTATGAGTAGAGCTGTCAAAAGTTGACCCGACTTGAAATACTGACTCAAAACCGATTATGAACCGAACCATCTGAACCCAAAAAAATGGTGACCCAAAACTGACCTGAAACCAATCCTAGACCCAAGTTGACCCGAGTATGTGAGACCCAAACCCGAACTGACATGGAGATGACCCGACCCGAATGTAATTCGTAAATTATTGACCTGAACCGAACCCGATTTGAACCGAAATTGACCCAAACCCGACCTGAAACCAATCCTAGACCCAAGTTGACCCGAGTATGTGAGACCCGAACCCGAACTGACATGGAGATGACCCGACCCGAATGTAATTCGTAAATTATTGACCTGAACCGAACCCGATTTGAACCAAAATTGACCCAAACCCCCAAAAAAATGGTGACCCAAACCCGACCTGAAACCAATCCTAGACCCAAGTTGACCCGAGTATGTGAGACCCGAACCCGAACTGACATGGAGATGACCCGACCCGAATGTAATTCGTAAATTATTGACCTGAACCGAACCCGATTTGAACCGAAATTGACCCAAACCCATTTTAACCTGTCAAAACCAGAATTTAACCCGACTTGTTACTGACCTGACCTGAAATCAACCCAACCCGTTCCTAACCCAACCTGTTACAAACCCGACCAGAAACCAACCCGACTTGTTATTAACCCGACCCAAATTCAACCCGACTTGTTATTGACCCGACCCTAATTTTACCAGACCTATTACTAATCCGACCAAAAAATTCAGCCCGATCTGTTACTAACCCGACTCGAAATCAACATGACTTGTTATTGACCCGACCTAAATTCAACCCAAATTGTTCTTGACCCTATTTCAAATCACCTTAAATGCAATTTAGACCACATTATTATTGTTGATCAAAGCATTTTGTCTAGGGAGACCAAGTCGGTCCAGGCAGCAAAAGAAAGGAGTATCATCCTCAAATTTAAGAATTAAATATAGTATATATTTGTTGTATGGTCATAGAAGATAATTATCTGCCTAAATTATAGACTATAGTTCCCTTGTATATTGCCATATATATTATAGTCAAAGGAAATAATTAACTTGATAAAAATGATAATTATCTATTTATAGTTAGTTGAACCCGAATATGAACTAACTTGAAAATAACCCGACCTGATTGTAACCTACAAATTATTGACTTGAACATAACCCGACTTGAATCCGAAAATAACCCGACTTGGAAATGACCCAAATTATAACCCGCAATATATTGACTAGAACTGAACCCGACTTAAACCCGAGAATGACCCGACTTGAAAATGACTCGACCTGATTATAACCATAACCCGATAAGAAGTATGACCCGACGTGACCCGACTCAAGCATGACCCAAACCAAACCCCGCATAGGTTATGGAATTAATCCGAATTGACTCGACCCGAGTTGACCTGACCCACTCTTACCGACCTAAACCCGACTCGTTTACTCGAAATGACAGTTTTACCCAAAACCTCCAAAATTTCTCAAAAAGTGTTGATATTAGCCTTCAATATTGGATTTTTTTGATTTTTTTTCTCCCGGAAATAAAAATTGCCGAAGTGTTTACCATGGTCCCTAATACTCTCCGGGACCAATTTGTCTTTAAACGACCAATTTATTAGTTTACAACTTGCACCAATTTCATTGACTCAAGCCTACCACAGACATTTATGACATCATATAATGATCATATATGGTTCCAAACGACATTATATGATCCCGAGATGTATCCCTTAAAATCTAAATGCTTTTCGACACCGGGCCCCCGAAACAATCGAAATTTCTCAAAAAGCGTGGATATTAAGCCTTCAATTTTGGATTTATTTTGACTTTTTTTCTCCCGAATATAAAAATTGCCGAAATGTCTAGCATGGTCCCTAATACCCTCCGAGAGCCAAATTGAGTGGGTGGAATCATCCATTTTGCCTTTAAACGACCAATTTACCGGTTTACAAATTGCACCGATTTCATTAATTCAAGCCTACCACGAACATTTATGACAACAAATGATGATCATATATGGTTCCAAACGACATTATATAACCCCGAGATGTATTCTCTAAAATTTCAATACTCTTCGACACCAGGCCCCCGAAATCTCCAAAAATTCTCAAAAAGCGTGAATATATCCTTCAATTTTTGAATTTGACTTTTTTTCGCCTGTATATAAAATTGTCGAAATATTTTCCATGATCTCTAATATCCTCCAATAGTCCAATTGGATTGGTGGAACCATCCAATTTGCCTTTAAACGGCCAATTTACTGGTTTACAACTTGTGCCAATTTCATTAACTCAAGCCTACCACGAACATTTATGACAACATATAATGATTATAAATGGTTCCAAACGCCATCATATGACCCTGAGATGTATCCCCTAGAATTTTTAGACTTTTCGACACCGGGTCCCGAAACCTTAAAATTTCGCAAAATGCGTGGATTTAATTTGGAATTTTTTTATTTCTTTTCGTCCGAAAATAAAAATTGCTAAAATGTTAACCATGGTCCCTAATTCCCTCCGGGAGTCCAATTGGATGGGTGGAACCATCCAATTTGCCTTTAATAAGCCAATTTACCGGTTTACAATTTGCACCGATTTCATTAACTCAAGCCTACCACGAACACTTATGACAACAAATAACGATCATATATGGTTCCAAATGACATTATATGACCCCGAGATGTATTCCTTATAATTTCAAGACTTTTCAACACCATGCCCCAAAACCTCCAAAATTTCTCAAAAAGCCTGAATATTAGCCTTAATTTTTTGAATTTTTTTTACTTTTTTTCGCTCAGAAACCAAAATTGCCGAAATGTTTACAATGGTCCCTAATACCTTCCAGGAATCCAATTGGGTGGCTGGAACCATCCAATTTGCCTTTAAACGACAATTTTATCGATTTACAACTCGCATCGATTTCATTAACTCAAGCCTACCACGAACATTTATGACAATATATAATGATCGTATTTGGTTCCAAACGGCATTATATGATCCCGAGATGTATTCTCTAAAATCTCAAGGCTTTTCGACACTGGGCCTTGCAACCTCCAAAATTTCTCAAAAATCGTGGATATAAGCCTTCAATTTTGGAATTTTTTGACTTTTTTCGCCCGAATTTAAAATTACCGAAATGTTTACCATGGGTCCATGGTCCCTAATACCCTCCAGGAGTTCAATTTGGTGGGTGGTACCATCCAATTTGCATATAAACGGTCAATTTATCGATTTACAAATTGCACCGATTTCATTAACTCAATACCTTGAACATTTATGACAACAAATAATGATTACATATTGTTCCAACGACATTATATGACTTCGAGATGTATTTCCTTGAATTTCAAGACTTTTCGACACTGGTCCCCGTAGACTCCAAAATTTCCCAAAAAGGTAAATATTTAGCCTTCAAATTTTTTAATTTTTTGACTTTTTTTCGCCCGAAATAAAAATTGCCGAAATGTTTATCATGATCCCTAATACCCTGCGGGAGTCCAATTGGGTGGGTGGAACCATCCAATTTGCCTTTAAAAGGCCAATTTACTGGTGTACAACTTGCACCGATTTGATTAACTCAAGCTTACCACAAACATTTATGACAACATATAATGATTATATATGATTCCAAACGGCATTATATGACCCTAAGATAAATCCCTTAAATTTTCAAGGCTTTTCGACACCGGGTGTCAAAATCTCCAAAATTTCTCAAAAAACATGGATCTTAGCCTTTAATTTTGGAATATTTTAACTTTTTTCGGAAATAAAAATTGTCAAAATGTTTACCATGGTCCCTAATACCCTCCGGGAGTCCTATTGGTCGGGTGGAACCATCCAATTGCCTTTAAACGCCCAATTTACCGGTTTACAACTTGTACTGATTTCATTAATTCAAACCTACCACGAACATTTATGACAATATATAATGATCATACATGGTTCCAAATGGTATTATATGACCCCGAGATGTATCTCCTAAAATTTCATTATTTTTCGACACATGAAACCTTCGAAATTCCTAAAAAATCGGGATATTAGCCTTCAATTTTGGAAAATTTTGACTTTTTTTCTCCCAGAAATAAAAATTGCCGAAATGTTTACCATGATCCCTAATACCCTTCCGGAGTTCGATTGGGTGTGTGGAACCATTCAATTTGCCTTTAAACGACTAATTTACCGATTTACAACTTGTACTGATTTCATTAATCAAGCCTACCACGAACATTTATGACAACATATAATGATTATATATGGTTCCGAACGACATTGTATGACCCCGAGATGTATCCCCTAGAATTTCAAGACATTTCGTCACTGGGCTTCGAAACCTCCAAAATTTCTCAAAAAGCGTGGATATACCTTCAATATTTGAATTTTTTGACTTTTTATTCGCGTGGATAATAAAATTGCTGAAATGTTTACCATGGTTCCTAATATCCTCTGGGAGTCCAATTTGGTGGGTGGAACCATCCAATTTGCCTTTAAAAGACCAATTTACTGGGTTACAACTTGCACCGATTCATTAAATCAAGCCTACCACGAACATTTATGACAACATATAATGAGCATATATGGTTTCAAACGACATTATATGACCTCGATATGTATCTCCTAAAGTTTCATGGCTTTTCGACACCGGGCCTCGAAACCTCCAAAATTTCTCAAAAAGCGTGGATCTTAGCCTTAAATTTTGGAATTTTTTGACTTTTATTCGCCCGGAAATAAAAATTGCTGAAATGTTTACCATGGTCCCTAATATTCTCCGGGAGTCCAATTAGGTGGGTGTAACCATTCAATTTGCCTTTAAACGTCCAATTTACCGGTTAATAATTGCACCAATTTCATTAGACAAGCTTACTATTCTGTCATCTTTGTTTAAGTATGCTTGTTGCCATAAACTATCCTGCATTTTTCATGTATCTGTGGTGTAAGGTGTTTGCTCCTGTTTGCAGTCCGCGGGAAATGGAGCCTTTCTAGCAGGAAAGCATAAAGAAGCTGTTGAACATTATACTGCTGCTTTGTCATTTAACGTTGAGTCCCGACCTTTCAGTGCAGTATGTTTTGCCAATCGTGCTGCAGCCTACCAAGCATTGGGGCAGATCACTGATGCAATTGCAGACTGCAGTTTGGCTATAGCATTGGATGAACATTACTTGAAGGTTTGGACCAATTATATCCGCATTTAGTAGTCATCAGAGCACTTAAACTGTTTTTATATAACATTTTATGTAATTTGTTATACTTGAACCTTGTTAAACTGCAACTTCCAACTTAGCTAGTTCCTAATGAAGAAACACACTAAAGTTTATAACTCTACCTAGCCTTTTGGAGGAACACATTTTGAGTTGGTAACATTGTTTATGGCCTTATGGGAATTTTCGGATTGACATAAAAAATCCTACGTAGTAAAAATTTCAGATCAGATCATGTTTTTTAATGCCTGGACAATGGGCTCCCAATAACACTTACTGGCTTCTTTAAAACAGGGTTTTATACTGTTTGAACTTTACGTAAATTAACATCATTTTGAAATAAATCATCAAAAAGTCAAAGGCAACAGCATGCTTCTTTAATAAGCTTATTGTTTATGCACTGCTTTTACTGAGCGATCTGCCCAAGCTTATTGTAAGTAATGGACATGTACCTATCCAAATAAGTGATAAGTATGAATTTAGTTCTGAACAAATAGGGTTTATTTATTTTTATATATTTTTTTTGAAAGACCACTAATAATTACTTCTCCATTCAATAAAATGCATCCGTGACCATGAACTAATATGAGTAAAATTTAAAAATTTTAACATTTTGAAACTGTTTACTGAGATGAAACTAACAAGCATGACAATTTATTTCTTATATATTAATGAAAATTTATGGTAAATTTTTTTGAAGTTTGACTTTCAAAAGAGAAATGGTGCAACTATTAGTGAATAAGGGAAGTAATATCTTTAGAAATGGTTTTCTACTTAATATGTAGAAAAGGTAGAGGTGTAGGTTGATGCTCTGGAATTCATTTAGAACATTTCCCTATTAGATGGCTCATCATGGCTTTTACTGTCATATTATGCATTTTGTTATCGGAAATCTATGATTGAGTGTTCGTGGAGGGAGTTAGCTACATCTTGACAATTATCCCTGTCTACTTAATTAAGCTAACCGTCGAAAGTGATCCAGATAGTTAGTACTTTTTACTCTGTCCATTCACTGTATCTAATTAGAGTGTTATCTTAATTATGTTGCAGGCAATATCCAGAAGAGCCACCTTGTTTGAGATGATTCGAGACTATGAACAGGCAGCGAAAGATCTTGAGAGACTTGTGTCTCTTCTTACCAAGCAGGCAGAGGAGAAGTCCACTTATTCAGGAGCATATGTGCCATTGGGCTCTGTAGCTGATCTAAGACAAGCTCGACAACGGCTTTTTCAGATGGAAGAACAGGCTAAGAGAGGGATACCTTTAAATTTTTACCTGATCTTGTAAGTGTTATACATTTATTAGTTTGATTATCTAATTCTGGAAAACTGAATTTGGTACTAACATCAGTCTTGGTCTTTATCCTGATGGCAGGGGAGTAGAGCCATCTGTTACGGCAATAGATCTAAAGAAAGCTTATCGTAAAGCTGCTCTGAGGCATCATCCTGATAAGGTCTGAGCCTTCACATTGCTGTTTTACTTGCCATTTTCTTAATGCTTGCAAAAATTCACACGAATATTGCTAATACAGGCTGGTCAATCATTGGCGAGAGCTGAAAGTGGAGATGATGGTCTCTGGAAGGAAATATCGGAGGGGGTCTACAAGGATGCTGATAAGCTATTCAAGATGATTGGCGAGGCATATGCAGTTCTTTCAGACCCTGATAAGGTGATGTGTAAAAAACCTATTTCTCTAATGCTCTCTTTATTCATTTCTTTATTTTACCATACCAAGTCTGTTATAAGATGTCATGAATACTACAACATTTGTTAAATGTCTAGGTGGTTGTCTTGGGAGCCTGAATTTTGACATATTAAATTTTCATGGTATTTAGGTGAGCAAGTCTCTGCAAAATTAATGAAACATTATACACTGGGTAAACATAACAGATAATATGAAGAAAACAGGAAATGGAGCAATTTGGAAACACAATGTTTTCTCAAAATTATGTAGGGAACTTGAAAACCAAATACGTAGTAGTAGATACTCTTCTGTTTCATACTGGTCTTCTTACTAAAAATCTTTTTGTGAGGCAAAATTGGTCAAAGTGGAAAGAAAGATATGAAATGGAGGAAGTATTAATTATGTTGCTTGGAATTGTAAATGTTTCTAAATTAATGATGTTTATTATTAACAGAAAAATGTAAATTCATTGGGTAATAAAGTTTTTTTGGTTGAGACAACGGAGTATATTCTAAATAAATCTAGTCCCGTCAAAAAAAAAATAAAAAAAAATCTAGTTTTCTTATGAAGCTGAACATAATTTTTCTTTGAATTGCAAGGCCAAGAGTTTTCCATTTCTGAAAACAGATGAGAAGTCACCTTGGTTTTTTTTTTTCTTTTTTTTTTCTTTAAATATTTTATTATTATTATAATTTCTGCATAAAGTTTATAGCTGAGTTACTGCTGGATAACTGTGTTAAATCTGAAGTAGTTAAGGGTTGTGTGACTTGCTCCTTCACTTTGCAACCTATCATAACATACATGATACAGTTAAGTCACTACACTAGGGAAGTAGGGAGTCAAGAGATGACATTTTTTTTTTTTTTGAAAGAAAGTCAAGAGATGACATTGAGCTTATTAGAATTGATCGAAAATCTTTCCAAACCAACACATTGTTTACTAAAACTATTGGTATTCATTTGCAGCGTTTCCAATATGATATTGACGAGGAGACAAGGAATGGCCAAAGGAAAAGTAGTAGCAATGCTTCAAGAATGTACACTGAAACTTCTTTTAACACTGCAGAAAGAGGTAATAGTGGAAGACAATGGCGAGAGATGTGGAGATCTTCTGCCAACCCTTATTCTCGGGGGTTTGAACCTACAAGACCTGGTGGATTTTATTAACAGAAAGACAGCCAGCTGAGTCACGGTTTGAACTATATTGAAGGAAACGACTAGATAAATCACACTATGAATCATGGTTATTACTATATCTAATGCTCTGAAGCTATGACAGAGACTTCCTCAACTAAACCCTGTGATTAACTTGAAGTTCAGAGGCACAATTGTGCAGCACTGTTGGGATTATCTAACGATACACAAGCAAAATGAGATTAAGATGGACTTTCCATCAGAAGTTCGGCAACTAACCCTAAGCCAAAGGTGTCTTGGTTCTCAAGTACATAGACGACGGAAAAAAAAAAATCTTTCTATATTATTTTTTTTACTTTTAGAAATTATATCAATATTCTTTTTCTTTTTCCATTTTCTTTTGGCTTGGAGGGTGTGAAGGGGGTATTTGTATGTGAGAAAGAAATTTGTTTTTCCAGTTGAAGCTATGTAAATACAGGCAACTTGTATAGCACAAAGAATTGCTTTGATTGAAATTAAATTATTATAGTGTTTGTGTTTGCTTATGTTTTCTGAAATCGGTCCTCTTGCTTATGAACTGTTGAAGACATTTGACATCTAGCATCACGCTTACAATTCAGGGAAAGCAGAAGGCTTGCGCAAGATTGATATCGATTACTGCAGGTCTCAGTACAAAACTGAAGATTTTGAAAAGCATAATGTCTGCAACTGTATATTTGAACCTTATTTCTGAAACTGTGAAATCTGAAAGCATATAAAGGCAAACACAACCCCTTTTACATAATTTAGAAGTACTCTGTGACTACTTGGAAACTCAGCAGAAACTCATTCTATATGCACTCAAATTTTTGAAAAAATATAAACAAAGAGAGAGCTAGCAGGTTCGGAAAATGTGTCAAACTGACTGTACCCTAGTTAAAAATGTATAATCCAACTGATACTAAAGAAGCAATGTAGCTGGATTCATCATTTCGTCTTTATCAAAAGAAAAACTACAATGCTAATCTTCAAACCACAAATATGAAAATGCTTCTTATGAGTAGAACTTGTAGGTTTTCGCGGCTATTATGATCTGTCTAAGCCCTCCAATAGGTGCTAACACCATCAGCATGACTCCAAGAACAATGCACGCCTGAAATATGAGCAGAAAACATTATGAGAATATATTCAATAACAAAGATTTACACCAATGTGCCAATAAAAACTCGACTTATATCAGCCAGAATTTTCGGGCTGATAATGTTTATCCTGAGGCCAGATCAGGCCAAAGACCAAAGTGGTCGAAAAAATTGTTATTCGGCTAGAATCAGACCATACTCGATAAGCTCTGCAGCATATAGAAAGGAAAACATACCCAATTACACCACCATGATAGGCCAAACTTCCTGGGTTTGTGAATAGCAAGCCACATGATGCAAGGAAGCTGCAAATAGAAGAAAGTTAGAACATTTGACAAGTGCAACATAAATTAAAATTCAAGATAAAATGTTGATTTAATTTAAGATTCTTTGTACGTAAAATGGACTTACAAAGTATGTAGTTGGAGCAAAGGCAAATCCTCCGAAGAATCCAAGAAGTCCTCCAAAGAAGGGGAATGTAATGGCTATAAACATTGTAAGTGCTGTGGAAGTAGAAAAAAAAAAAAAAATCAATGGTTAATCAAATTTCGATCAGTAGTCACGTTGATAGTATAATTGTAAAGAGAAAGTATATATAGAATAAGAACATTGACACTTACCCACATAACAGTTGCGACTAATAAATCTAAGGTACCAAGTAGGCTTGAAGTGCAGCTTCTTCACTAGCACAGTCTCAATCATGTCAAACACCGGCATGGCATATATCTAGAGAGGCAAAAAAAGTTCTTGATCAGTATCTTGGAAATTCATATGAAAACCATAATGTGAATCATAAAAGTTAGTATATTTCAAGGTCATTTCCTAGGGAATATTGTGCACGTCCAAGACTTTTTTTTAAGGACCCTACTGAACCGGCACCTCTCACAGGTTTAGCCAATCCAGCTCCGTAGGTCATCGCTTGAGAGTAGAGGGGGAGGTAAGGGAATCCCCCTACTCCCAACCATTTTGTAGTTGGTGGGGCTCGAGCTCGTGGCCTCAAAGTCACAAAGTGAGTTCCCAAATCCCCACCAACTCCCAAGACTTATTTGGGTACACAATTGGTATATACAGTAGATTTTCTGGTGTGTGTACAATTTCAAATTATGATACACACCTGATAGCTTCCAATAACATGGACGACCACAAACATGTTGGCCATAGCAATAAGCCAACCAGGTTTCTCTAGGGAAATAAGGATGTTATCTTCAACCTTGTTGCCAAAAACCCAATAGCCGATTAGGGCAACAGGGAAATAACATATGGCAACAACGATATAAGCAACGATAACACCCTTCCACATGGGTGCCTTGGAAGGCTTTTCTGGGGTGGAAGGGATGGTTGCTTGAATTTCGAGTACAACATTGTGTCCTGCATATGCAAAAGCCACATCTCCTAGCGCGTTGAAGAAGCCAAACATCTTCCCCACGTCACTATGGTGCTTAGCCCCGTAAGAAACGTCTGGTTGTACACCTTTCCCTAGTGATGCTGTCCATGCAATTGTAGAATAGCTGCAACATCATATCAAACCAAAAGAAATCCAACTAGTTAAAAATTAAGGCCTTGGAATACATATTTAAGGTAACTCTTAAAAGATCTTTAAAGATGTTTTGCTCGTTCAAGTGTTCACCTAAGGGACATAACAGCAGCAGCCAATGAAACAACGGCGATGGAGTTGAAGTTAGGAAGGTGAGACAGGACAAAGTGGACAGAGGAGAAGATCATGATAAAGTAGGTTGTTTTCATAGGTGCGCAATTAGTCTTGGTAGCACATATGATATCATGGACCTTTTGAAGGGATTTACCTCCGGTAACCATGTAAACAATGTTGACACCAACTTCAACAATAAGCTGTTGAGGCACCACAATCCATAGGCCTAGCTTCTCCCCAAAGGCGTATTGTCCTAGCTCGTGGTACCGGTCAAATCGCTTTCCCGGCACCATCTCATGCATCTCCACCATTTGCCACAGGGTGTACAATGTTATGATCCATGACAGTACTAGAATTACCACTCCTGGTCCCCTGTAAAACACACCAAAATTATATTAACTGTCGATATAAAAAATGCACCCTTTCATCGTCCATAGCTAGTATAGAAAAAGTAACATCATTATTGCAATATATACGTGACATTTAGGCAATTTAACATACTTTTCTTCGTGAAAACATATACAAAAACTATTACTTGGAAATGAACTCAAACATTTTAATTACGTAGAAAAATTAGGTGTTGTCTTGTTATTTTGTGCTGACTAAGCTAATTTTCTAGACCACATACGGAAATGTTGCAATTTTGTGAAAACTTACCATCCTAGATTAGCCATGGCATATGGAAGACTAAGGACTCCGGCACCAACCATAGCCGTGACATTGTGGAAGGCAGAGTACCACCATTTTGCATTCCTTGCCGATGTAATGGGAAGCCAATCATCAATTTCCTTTTGTTTTGCTAACTTTGTTTCAATATCCTGATTAAACATACACCAAAATTATAAATATAATGCAAATTCACTTAAAACATAACAAAATGATATCGTATATAAAAAATAATACAAGGAAAATATGCTAAATTTCCCTTATCATTAGAGTTCAATAGTTCACAAACATTAACTTTGAACCTATTTTCAAATATCAAACATACTTTCATAACGTTTTGAACTTATTGATATTATAGTACTCAAAGTGACAAATTAAGAAAAATGAGTCATTTTCATTGAAGATATCACAAATATGTTAGAATTGTCATGTGAAACAAATCAAGATGGTAAATTAAAGGTAACGTTGTCACAAGGTATACGTCAAAAAAGTACTATAATTAAGTATAGAATCATAAAAGAAAATACTATATAAGGAAATCGTAATCAAACTGAAGTCCAAAGAGATAAGATTATACAAGTATATTTATACAATTATACTCGTGAATTTGATCTTGATCATCATAAAAGTATTTTTATAACTTTATTTTATGTATAAACGGTGGGTTCACGGAGCTAATTAATAACAGTAGCATTTATAATTGGTAAAATTCATTGATATAAATAAACAAATAATAGGTTTGAATTCATTGTCCACCAAAATTTTCAAAGAAAATTATGAATTGACAGCAAAAATACAGCTTAGCATAAATTGAAGAGTCAAAGTCTTTAATTTATTTTAAGTCCATAACACATGGAGTGCAAAATTAGAAATTAGACAAAAATTATTGAAAATTAATTTATCAAATATTCAAATGACAACTTGTTCACATGAAAGGGCATGTCTACTACTAATTGTGTGATACATCACTTAAAATTAAGTAGCACCCCACTAACACAATTTGCAGTAGACATAACATGATAAAGAATTCCCATTTTACCCTCGCTCTTTCAAAAATCATTATTGCAAAACTTTGACTAGATAAAATGTGAACTTTTACCAAAATCTATTGACATTGAAGAAATATCTAGCAAGTTTCTTAAAAATTTCAGGTAAATAAAATCCGTAAAGACTAATCACCTCAAATTTTCTAAGTCATTTACGATTAACTGATAGGTGTTTTGAATTGAGATTAAATTTAAGAGACATTTTTCTTGTGTATAGTAGCTCCATTAGTAATTTTGACTTTTGAAGTCTTTACATTAAAGGTTGACCATAAAAAATAAAAAAAGTCGTTAACAAACTAAAAGCTTGGTTATCCCTCAAAAATAATAACTAGGGGAATCAAAGTTGTCATCGATGGGATAAAAATGATAGAGTAAAAGACATTTTTACCGAGAAAAGGAAAGATAAGTAATGGTAATTAAAAATACAAGTTATCCTAATCTAATTTCTAACTTATGCCAAACAAAGAAAAATAATATTTCTATTCTTATTCAATACCCACTAATTCTCCATCCGTATCCCATATTTTTACAGTAAATGATTATCATCAATGTGAAATGAAAACATATGATAACCCAAAACAAACAACCCAAATGATGCACACAATCTACTATTCTAAAGATAGAAAAAAGAGATATTTACATTGATACGCCCATAAGAAGTGCTGGGGACAGAAGGAGCCATATTTGTACAATTTGTCAATTGTAGAATCAACTCACTTTATAAAATTGACCAAAAAGTTTGGAGATTTCCTATTTTTTGTGGAGTTAACAATTCACACCAAACCACAAAAAACACCCCCCAAAAAAAAAGTAGAAAACTGCCAAATTATGAACTTTTAATTTGGAAGACTTCCTAAAGGGTTAAGCTACTATCATTACACCACTTTTTATAGGATAAAAAGTCAAGTCCACGCCCTTAAACTTCACATTACATTCCTACCATGAACTACACTCCTACATACAAATATACAATTAATAATTTGATTTTTCTCACTCAATTTTTTATTTATTTATTTATTTTTTTAACAATATAATTGTTCAATTTGGCTATTAATTTATTATGTCATTTTTCTTAATTCAAATGATTGGAAAGCCGAGTTTTAAGTTTCAACTAAAAAAGTCCAAATATATCACTCATCATTATATATTTTTTTTTTGGTGCAAATCATTATATTTATTAAATATTCTAAACAAGCAAGATTTGCTTGAAGAACTAGCTAGTAGCTATGGTTGAATATAAATGGTCATCACGCCATGTCGCCATATATACCCTTTTCTTGTGTATATAAAGAATTTTAATTTACACTTAAAATTTTCATATATAAACAGTATATATATATATATTTTTTAGTGTTCAGAGAGTCACAAAGGGCGGGAGTGAGAATCAATCCTAGGATCTCCTGGAATCGGGAGGGAAGCTCTAACCACTTGAGTTATACCTCACTCTCTATATAAACAATATATAATAGATAGAGAACGATTATATTCTCAAATGTATGTTGGACCACTAAACCAATTTTTTTTTTTTAACCAATTCAAAAAGGTATGTGAGGAGCAGGAATAATCACAGGCCAACATCATATAGATTTATTTTAAACGTGAAAATTTGGGTCAACAAGTAGGATTCGAGATTAATTTCAAATAGAGAGTTCAAATAATCTTAATACAAATATCATAAGTGATGAGTCAAATCAGGCTTCACGTTGTTTGGGCTCAATTCAGCTTAAGTAGGGTTAGAGGTTTCTCTCAATGTATTTTGGGTAGGGTTCTCCGGTAGGGTTATGGTTTTTCAACATTAACTTCGTTTTGTGTGTGAACTTAAGTATCAGAAATAAATATATATACTATTTAGATGTATTTGAACAATGAGTTTGACCAGGTTCATAGCTTAAAATATTTTCTTAAAGTATTATATGTAAATTAAAATCTTCAAAACTTCCCTAAAAAGCACAATTAATTAAATCAATATTCAATACCATCATCCTATCTTGTAAACTATGCTTTAATTGGATAAATTATATTCAAATTTCATTAGAAGACAAATAATGTATGTCACATGGTGAGAAGTTATGATCCGGAATTCTTGATCATATAATTTAAAGGTTAAAATACCACCTAAGATGCTCTTGAAGATCAAATTACAAGGGGGTTGGATTGAAAAATATAATTAAAAATAAATCAAGGTTTATCAAAGATAGTGTAAAATACAATTATAATTCAACTATTTTGTCGATACCTATATCACTTTTTTAATCATAAAAAAAATATTCAAATAAACATAACAAGGTATCATTAAACAAATAAGAATCAGGTTAATTCATTACTCCATTCGTTTCCGAATATTGTTAGTTCACATTTAAAATTTTGTCACACACTTTTTAACTTATAATGAAATCAAGAAAAGAACAATTAGCATATCGAAAAAATTCTTAAGGCCAGATATAATGATCATATATATGAATACATCCAAATAACAACAATAATAAACTAACTATATTATATGAACCATATAAATTGCAATAAAAGAAATCATATAAACAATTAAAGAGAAAAGAAATCATACTGTGAATTTTGAAGGAGGTCGAGTATCCATTTAATTGGCTAGGAAATTAACAGAAGGAGATTAAAAATTTGGGAATTGAATCTCCTTCTGAAATTGTGCGCAAAATAAAAGTAATGCGTTACACACTTTATATAAAAATTAGTTGTAAAATTGTAATCACCAAATCTCCTCTTTTGGTAAAGTTTTAATCTCTCTCCTACTGTCAATGAGTTGTGGAAATTTACTGCTTTATATAGCAATAAAACGAGTGAATTGAATCTGGAATCATGAATTTTTATTTATTTTATTTATTTTTATTTTATGATGCATGTATATGGATTTTATTAAGGATTTAAGGATAAGAGAGTGTAACAAGTATTTCTGTATTTGACTTTTTGACGTATCATAAGTATATTGTACATAATTTTCTGTTTTATAATTTTTAACTTAGACTTTTAATAGGAGTGTCTCTTACAATGTCAGGTTTTTTTTATAGAAGATAAAAATACCTTAATATGAAAAAAGCAAAAAACAGGATTATGTTTAAATTATATCGAGGTAACTAATGACAATGTTAAGTATATGTTTGCCCCGTGCCGTTTGTCCTCAAAAATAAATATTAAGTACATGTACAATATTTATTTAATATGGCCAATATACCAGCCTTACATATAGAACTATGCACTTTTGAACTAACTATTCATAAGTGTTACTACCTAGTACCTACGGACTACAGATTACTACTTATCGTGATGGTTGCACCTACATAAATGACATTACGGAAATACAGCTAAAATAATTTAGTCCAATTTTAATATAATTTACATATTTTATATTGGCAAATTTCTCAAATGTATTACTTCGTATCACTTAGCAATTTTGCATTATAATTACACAGAAAAAGGTTGTTTTTATTGCTTAATCTTTGTTAATGACATGATCTTTGCGTAAAATATTGCTTGATATTTGTTAATAACATTTATCTTTATTTCTTTTTCTTTTTTCTTTTTTTATTTTTTTTACCACTATTCAACACTTAAGAGTTGACAGATCGAGTTTATCTAGCCTCTTATTTTGGTGGGCGAAAAACTTGTGGCACCTGTTTCCTTTTGTCATTTTATTACTCCGTATTATTATTATTTTATTTTTTGAAAGGTTCCTTTAATTATTAAAATTACATAAACCACCAGATTATTTAAATATTTACTGCACTCTAATTTCAGTTTTAACTATAAAGACAAGTGTAAGGGTTTAATAATCTCATACATTTGACATGAAAACTTCAAACTTATTATTTCTACCTTCTAAATTATTTACACTTATTCTCCTTACTCCCGAAAATGCTCAACTTCCTATCGCGTGATTTTGTGTGGGTAAATGTTGACGGAATAACGTGATTAGTTTATATGTTAAGAGGTGATATTCAAAACATAGGATTAATAAATACTATTATAAACGGCCTAGTAAGTCATCCCCACAAAGAAAAAGGATATATATGTTGTATACACAAAGACAAGTGAGGCGATTCTTTTATAAGGGTGATTGGAATTTTATTTAATTAGCATACGTCATAGTATAAAAATCACTTATGTTAGTTATGTACCACAATATTATGCAATTCAAGTGATCAACACAAAATTTTCAAACAATCAAATTTGTATTCTGTTAACTTGTGGGTACATCCGTCCAAACAAGTCCTAAAAATATATGTAAAGACATGATCACATTAATTATTTAATACTAAAAAAAAGGCTGTCCAATGTTGAATTTAGCAAGAATATATCACATGGTGAGAAGTTGTTATCCTCATATTTTAAGGGTCAACTATCAACTAACGGCTTAACTTAAGGATTTAAAAGAATACTAAAATATTAACTTGAAAGATTAACTTACATGAATTATATATAGTAAGTAACTGATATACAGTACAAGAATTAATTCCAATTAATTGTTTATAGATTACTACTATAATGTTTCAGAGGAATATTGTAAGTTACTTATTATAATGTTAATTTACATTGCACCAAAAAAAAAAGGTTAATTTACATTGTTTTGACGTGTATTCATTCTTTAATACCATTGTTGAATAGATGAACTGTGAGACTAAAAACTCAATTCCACTCTCATAGTTTGTATTGAATTCTTAATTTTCAAAATTGAAAATGAGGTAGCTATCATGTACTTCGTTCATATATAAATTTTCTACATTACATCAACAAAAATCGAACAAGATAGTCTCATAAAATATATTTACAATGAACTGACTAGGAAGAATTCTCAACCTATTTTAAACAATCAAAGTCATAAACACAAAATTTAAATCATATTACTCACTTCTTTTTTTCGTGTTTGTGTAATTTCTAGTATTTTTCGTTTTACTTTCTTAAATTACATAATGTCACATTCTTGGTGACGTACCTAATTGATTCCAATTTAATAGCTTAACTAATACAAGCAACCAATCTTTGGCTAAAAATTATACCATTGCAATTGAATGTCCATCCTAAACAATGGCACAATTAAATTCATACATCATATTACAAATTACAATCATATACTAGATGTACAAATACTAATACCAAATAAAACAGAGTACAAAAGATTTAATCCAATAATAAAAACATGATCAAACAAAAAAACAGAGAAAACTTACTGCGCTATTCTGAGGAGAAGCTTGAGTTACTTGAGTAACCATATTAACACCTTGATTAAAATACAAATCGCCCAAAACCCGAGTTTCGTTTAACTTGTAATCAAAGATTAACAAACTCAATCTCAAGATAATTGATCTTCTTTTGATACCTTATATACTAATTAGCAATATACAATATATATGAAGTATATACTACTATATAGTTTTAAATAATGTATAAATGTGAAGATGGGTTGAGAATGTGATAAAATGGTAGCTTATATGGGCAAAGAATGGTGTGTATGAAAGATTAATGCAAGTTGAAGTAAACGGAGAGAGAAAACAAGACTGACGTATAACCCCTTTGACTATTAGACTTCTACCTACGAAAATTCTACGAACTTCCCATCTTTTTTTTTTTTTTTTTTGTCTATTTCGTTATTATAATTTTATTTTATGAATTCCACACTCTTGTTAAGATGTCAATTATCGAAATATGTGTCTATTATACACCCGCGTTTAATGTTATACACTATGTTTTTATATTTGTGATGTTTTGTTCTTCGAAGATTTGTTTTACACTATCTAAAAGTTTAATATGATGGTTAATGTTCTGAGATTTGTATTTGTATCCATCATGGCTCTTCACATAGGAGTCCTGACCTTTGAGCTTATGTCCAAGGCTAAATATTTCACTATTGTTAGATCTTAGAATATATCATATTATCAGGTTATTAAGTCATACCAAGAAATATTTAAAGATCATAAAAGTTGTGCAACAGTGTTTTGGAATTTAGGTCCTACATAGGCTAAATGTAAGTCGTGTTTGGATTATGACATATTCTACGGAGGTTTTCTTTTGAAGTCACTTTAGATTAAGCAAGATTCAAAAGCTGTTGCTTGTTGGCTTATTATGAAAATTCAATTAGTTGATACGAGTCATTTTATTTAGACACGTTTGTCAATTCATAGCTTTAAATGTAAATATCTTTAGTTGTGTATTTAGCAAAAATTATGAAATTTTGATATTTAGAAAATAGACATTGAGATGAATCTAACATGATCCCACATAACTAGTATTTATTTATCACTAAATCACAAAACAAAGTCAAACTAGGTTACATAAATAATACATAAAATCAAAATGTGTCAATTAAAAAAAACAAAAATGGTATTACCTTATTATTAACACAATGAGACATGAAACTAATTTCGAACTAGCCTGTAGTCCTATACTACTAGTTCGGTTTAGGCTCAAACCTGATATGCCCAAATGCCCAATTGTGTTGAGATCAACCCTGATTGAGTTTGGCCCAATAGTTGAACCGACCCAAGCCTCGCTTTTTGCGTACATTTTTCTACCATATCTAATTTTTTTAGATTCACATTTTCTTCTATTGGGTCAATAATGGAGGAATTCCGGCAGCTTATTAGATTACTCCCATGAATCAATGCCAACAAGGCAACAACCATTACAAACTGTTTTTCTATCCCATGTACAGAACATGATGCGCATTATGACTCCGAAAAATTATGTTGCTCCTTATCTCTATTATGTTAAGTTGCATAGTAATTAACTTTCAAAATTGAAATTTAAAATTTGATTCACTTTACATTTGTCTCTCTACTCTCTAAGAGTTCCATGTTTTCAAGATTCATAACAATTTGTATACATATTACGTACCTTTTTAAAATTATACACGATATTTAGGGATTTCTCCAAAAATAGGATTACGATAAGTTGTAGTCATATACAAGTATATTTCAAATATCATCATTAATCATATTGTTATATTAATCGCGTCGTTCTCATCTTCTTTTTACTTAGCCTAGATAGGATTATTTGGAAAATTCAATACTCTTAAGTCTTAACATATAATGTTATCTCTTAGCACTCTCCTCCTTTGGGAATAAGTTACTTTCAAGTTTTTTTAGTCAAATATAATTAGGATAAGCATACTTAGAAGACCATGAAAAACGCTAACACTAAAAAAAGAAAAGTTGGTCAACCTTTAATTTTTGTGGTACCTTCTTTCTGTCATTTTGGCTGCTAAAAGGCTAAAATAGTTGAATTATGCCAATAGAAAAAGAATCCCACGTCAAAATTCAAAAAACTTTAATTTTAATAATGTTGTTCATCACATAATTATACCAATATTATATACTTCGTATTAAATTAGCATAATTGATTCATGAGGTACGATACATATTGGTTTGGTTTTACAATTATATACAAGTTTGATCAACATTGTAATACATGCTAAAGTTCTTCTAATATATTCTTTAAATTTGTTTTCCTATATACTTGAACTATTGTTAAAATTATACTCGATATCTATTCAAAAAAAAAAAAAAAAAAAAAAAAAAAAAAAAACCCTCCATATGAAAAGTGTGAAATGATAAATAAAGCAAAAATGCAGTATTAAATAGAGTTGTCAAAAGTTAACCCGACCTGAAATACCAACTCAAAATCGATTATTAACCGAACCATCTTAACTCAAAAAATGGTGGCCCAAACCCGACCTGAAACCAACCCTAGACCCGAGTGTGTGAGACCCGAACCCGAACATGAATAGACCTGGAGATGACCCGACCCGAATGTAACCCGTAAATTATTGACCTGAATCGACTCCAACTTGAACTGAAATTGACCCAAACCCGTTTTAACCCGTCAAAACCCGAATTTAACCCGACTTGTTACTAACCTGACCTGAATTCAACTCGACCCATTCCTGAACCAACCCGAATTTAACCCAACCTGTTACAAACCCGACCCGAAATCAACCCGAATTGTTATTAACCTGCCCAAATTCAACCCGACTTGTTATTGACCCGACCCGAGTTTTACCAGACCTATTACTAACCCAACCAAAAAATTCAACCCAATCTATTACTAACCCGACTCGAAATCAACACGACTTGTTATTGACCCGACCTAAATTAAACCCAAATTGTTCCTGATCCGATTTCAAATCACCTCAAAAACAATTTAGACCACCTTATTATTGTTGATCAAAACATTTTGTCTAGGGAGACCAAGTCGGTCCAGGCCAGCAAAAGAAAGGAGCATCATCCTCAAATTAAGAATTAAATATAGTATATATTTGTTGTATGGTCAAAGGAGATGATTATCTTCCTAATTATAGACTATAGTTCCCTTGTATATTTCCATACATATTATAGTCAAAAGGAAATAATTAGCTTGATAAAAATGATAATCGAATATGACGTGACTTGGAATGACCCGACCTGATTGTAACCTGCAAATTATTGACTTGAACATAACCCGACTTGAATTCGAGAATAACCCGACTTGGAAATGACCCAAACTGATTATAACCCGCAAATTATTGACTTGAACCGAACTCGAATTGAACCCGAGAATGACCCGGCTTAAAAATGACTCGACATGATGATAACCCAAAACCAATAAGAATTATTACACGACTCAAGCATTACCCAATCCAAACCCGACCCGCATAGGTTATGGATTAAATTCGAATTTACCCGGCCACTCTTACCGACCTAAACCCAACCAGTTTACCCGAATTGAAAGCTCTGACCGAAACCTCCAAAAATTCTCAAAAAGCGTGGATATTAGCCTTAAATTTTGGAATTTTTTTTTCACCCGGAAATAAAAATTGCTCAAATGTTTACAATGGTCCCTAATATCTTCCAGAAGTCCAATTGGCTGGGTGGAACCATCCAATTTGCCTATAAACGACCAATTTACCAGTTTACAACTTGCACTGATTTCATTAACTCAAGCCTACCACGAACATTTATGACAACATATAATGATCATATATGGTTCCAAATGACATTATATGACCACGAGATCTATCCCCTAAAATCTCAGTGCTTTTCGACACCGGGCCACGAAACAATCAAAATTTCTCAAAAAGCGTGGATATTAGCCTTCAAATTTGGAATTTTTTGACTCTTTTTTTGCCCCAATATAAAAATTTCCGAAATACTAACCATGGTCCCTAATACCCTCCGGGAGTCCAATTGGGTGGGTGGAACCATCTAATTTGCCTTAAAACGACTAATTTACCGGTTTACAACTTCCACCGATTTCATTAATTCAAGCCTACCACGAACTTTTATGACAACAAATAATGATTGATGCGGTTCCAAGGCATCAATATTGTTATTATAATTATTTTTATTTTTATTTTTAGTTTATTATTAGATGACCGAATTTATTAGGATATTTTTGTTAGTTTAATTTGGTTAGTATAAGATAAGCTTAACTTTAAAGATCATATTTGCAAAATAT